AATAATTAAACTTTGATAAAATAATAAATTATTAAAACAGTTGTATTAAGCGTTGGTCACGTGACTTAACGATTTATGAAGGGTCTGTCTTCAGCTTTAAAGACACAACATAAAGGCCAAGCATATGTCCTAAGGAAAAGAGAATCTACAATTTTAAAAATTAAGCATTCATAAAAATGTAAGCATTTTCAATGTTAATTATCTTGATTATCTGAATAAGTAGATGTGTACTCATATTTCCGAGATTTTTATATGCTCCTACACTTATAAAGACATCATCGCCATTATCATAATTGTTGATTTATTTGATATACTTTAGATACAGAACTTTCACGAAAAGTTGATAATAAATTTCAATAATAATTATTATTGTTAATGGATTTTTTACGTACATATTATGTACAGGGTGTTTCAGGATTAAGTCCACAAACTTTAAGGAGATATTCCTCACAAAAAATAACAAAAAAATCAAGTACTTATACATTTTTTTCCAGGGACGCTTCATTTTCGAAATATAGGGCGTTAAAGATTTTTAAAAAAATTCGAATAATTTAAATAATTTCTAAATGAAGAAGGCTATTTAAGCCAAATTTGGCATCACACATCTTTTTGTAATATACCATTTTTCCATAGAAGTAGAAGTCCCGCAAGCAACCAGTGGCGGAGTTATGGGGACTCAAGATTAATTAAATTATAAAAAAAATTAATACGACCCTACTGAAAATAAAAAATGATGCTGTTTTTAGATAGAACAGTTTGTTATCGACAAAAAGTGTACATTCACTTTTTTTTCCTAACTCTTATAGTTTCATGGCAAAATTGATTTTTCGGAAGGGTGCTTCTGGATTCTGTCGATAAACTTTAGGAAGACGTTCCTCATAAAACCTACAAAAATATAGTACTTATTAAAATTGGTCTTATCTCGAGTATGTGTGAGTCAAATAAGCCTTTTTGCCTCCCCTTTCCTTGGGTTTAACCAATAGTATTAAAATTATTTAGGAGATGCTTCGTTTTTGAGATATAGGGTGTTTTTTTTTAGAAAAAAAATAATGTTGATGAAAACAATAGAAATATTTAAGTACCTAACATCTAATGTGACTATGTCGTAATGCGACAACGTAACAACCCTTGCAATACTCCTAAATTTTTTCAGGTGGTTTGTAGTAACTTCATAGACACATCTTCTTATAAGATACCATTTTTTCCATAGAAGTAGAAGTCCCGCAAGCAACCAGGAGTTATGGGGACTCAGACTCATTAAATTATAAAAAAAATTAATACGGCCCTACTGAAAATAAAAAATGATGCTGTTTTTAGATAGAACAGTTTGTTATTTACAAAAAGTGTACATTCACTTTTTTTCCTAACTCTTATAATTTCATGGCAAAATTGATTTTTCGGAAGGGTGCTTCTGGATTCTGTCGATAAACTTTAAAATGAACCTCAACAGAAATTTTCGAGTAGGCTGCTGTCAAGCAATGTTAATGTGACGTTTTAAATGTTATTTTGCGAATTGTTGCATAAATTATCCATTAGATAAAGCGTTCAAACTATTAATAAAAATAAGTTAAATAATACCGTCCATATTTCTGAACAATGAATATCATGATATGGTTTTTGTGATGGAAATGCCACGGCGGCTCGCCGTGAGTATACAGTAAGATTTCCTCATCGCAGACTCCCAGCAAAGGAAACATTTTCAACGACATTCAGTGGTCTCAGACAAACTGGCTCTTTCGGTATTCCAACTTATGCTGATGGACATTTTGTCTTACTTCAGGACGAAGTAAGATCGAATACTATTTTAAACCATTTCGATGAAAATCCATTCACGAGTGTCAGAAGATCTAGCTATGAGCTAGGTATTTCGTCAAGTTCCATTTGGAGGACTCTTCGGGCTGATGGACGCCATGCGTACCATATCCAGCGTGTGCAACATTTATTTTGTGACTGGATGTTAAACCAAGCAGAGAATGATGATTTACTTACGCAAAAAGTAATGTAGACAGATGAGGCAACATTTACTCGAAGGGGAATTTTAAACCAAAGGAACAACCGTATTTGGTCGTACGAGAATCCACGGGCGGTAAGGGAACATAGTTTTCAGCATGAATTCCAATGTAACGTATGGTTGGGTGTGTTGGTCCCTACTTCCTTCCGCATCAGTTAAATGCTGACATGTTTACCGTATTCTTTGAAAATGGTTTTCAAGATCAGTTAGAAGATGTTCCGCTTAATACTCGAATGAACAGTTGGTTTTAACTAGATGGTTGTCCGGCCCATTTTGGTAGAGGTCCTAGGGAGTGGTTAAACATTAATTATACCAGGAGATGGATTGACCGTGGAGGACCTGCGAGGAGTATTTGTTTAGTAAATAATGCAGACTGAACAATGCGATCGTTTGGGTCAATCAAACTGTTGTTAAAGTTATTTCCTTTCAGCGGTGCAGACCAATTTAGAGATAATTGAGTATTGACCGCATCTGCAATAGAAAAGCGATTGGTAATAAATATTCTTTGCAAATGGTTAATACACATACGATTTAAGCTGCAACAAATTTTTGTTATTTTACACTTATACATAAAGTATGGTTCTTAAGACGTAACGACTAATTTTTGTTAATAAAATATTATGTTAAAAACATTACTTTTTTCATCTTGTGTGGTAGGCCTCGCAGATCATAGAATATATTTTATTAAGTTCATCTTAAATACAGGGTGTTCGGAGAGGTCATGTCAAAAATGAGAGGGTATACAGGGGAGCTCAAAATAGTTGCAGTAGTTCATAAAAAATTTCTTCCTATCGGGCTTCAAAGAAAGAAGTTCGAAAATAAATTCCAATTATAACTTCTAAGTCGTTGCCATGACAACAATGAAATTTAGGCAAACTGATATTCAATGTACCTGGATTATGCAGGAGCAGACGAAATTATCCATTTAAATTTATACATCGTTGACAGCGTTGCCAAATTTGGTATGTTTCTTTCATAATTCAATTCCTCTCTCACTTTGCTAAAAAAAGGTATACCCTACATCAGTCGATATCTTGTACCGTTTTTGAGAATATCGAATTTTATTAACATATATGTACAGTATCAAAAATTCAATATTAATATGTTTGCAAAAATCTTGGAAATTGAGATAACTGTCACCAAGTACGTATAATTAACAGTTAGATATTTGTCATGGATGGCTGGCTTATGCCTGATGGTGCACCACCCTATTTTAGCAGGGCCGTAAAGGCATATTTAAATACCACTTCTCTTTTTCCGTGGCTGCCTCGATCTCCAAATCTTAATCCTCTCGATTTTTTTCTTTGAGGCCATCTTAAAAGTCTTGTTTATCTTGTTTATCAAACTCCCAGAAGGGAAGATTATTAAATCGCATGATTACATACGCCGACATCATTAGAAATGATCACATGTTATTTCGAGTACAGCAGAAGTATTTGAGCAATTTCAGAAAATGCATTGAAGTTCAAGGTGCCTATATTGTTCTCTCTTTTCTTTTAATTCTATAGAAACCAAGATTTTATAAAAACGTTAGTACCTATCACATTTTTGATACAATAACTACTGTATGTTGTTAATAAAATTCGATTCTCTCAAAAACGGTACAATATATCGACTGATATACGGTATACCTTTTTTTTAACAAAGTGAAAGTGAAATCGAACTGTGAAAGTTGTCAAATTTGGCGACACTGTCAAAGATGTACAAATTTAAATGGCTAATTTCGTTTGCTCCTGTATAATCCTGGCATATAGAATATCAGTTTAAACATGAAAATAAACATTACCATGAGTTCTTTGTTGAAGGCAAATAACACAACGAAGCCCGATAGGAATTTATTTTTTAAGAAGTACTACAACTATTTTGAACTTCCCTGTACACCCCTTCATTTTTGACATAACCTTTCTGGACACCTTGTATATAATTTTTTTTTTGGAATGCGGTAAGAAAAGTAATTGTCATATTTACAATTTCGAATGAATAAAATGGGAATAGTTTTTTATAATTAATAGGATAAATTATATTCAGGCAGGTTTACAAATATTAAAGAAGAAGTGTATACTCATTTTTGTTTAAATTTTTATGTTATCTTGAACAGATTAAATGGCCAGTAATAATGTACTTTTTGAAACTTGCAGTGTGCAACAGGAATTGAAATAAGTTATATGTGATGGAGCAATGTCTTCTATAAAATCATAACAATGTTGAACCTCCTTTATCCACCGTATCCCTAACGATACTGTTCAAATAAAAAAAAGAGACTAGTTGTATTTTTTAATGAAATCTCAATTTTCTCTTGTTTCAGTTGTTCTTTTTATTGAAGCTACATTTCAAATGGTTTATATGGAATATTTTTGTGTTAACACTATTTTGGTGGTACAAAACAGATTGTACAAAGTATCTTAAAATTTTATGAACAATTCGGCTCTTGTAATGCATAGATATCCGAAGTAAACTTAGAGTTGCAGAGAGAAGTTTGAAGAAGCCTTCAATGGAACAAGGAATTGCATAGCATTCCATAAAAGGAATGTTTGAATCAGTCCCCAAAATAAAATATTAAAATATGCATATCAACCTTATTCCCAAAACTACATTTTTCCCTTTAACACAGAGTACACCTATTATAGAATAAGGAGCTACTGGATGAACACTCTGTATTCTGAAGATGATAAAAGGGAATTCTGGAATAAATTGTTGAAATAAGATAAAGTCTAGATCGCATGCTCAACGAATATTTATTTACTTACAAAGAAAAGAAAATGACTTAAATATAAAGAATTCTGTAACTTAGATATGGCCTTGGTCTTCATATATTCTTAATTTGAAGTAGGAAAATATAATTGTACTTGTAAGATAACGTTAATATATTTATCATTTCAAAGAGTACTTGAAGTGCCATCCGGTACATATTAATTTAATTAATCGGTATTTAATTAATAGAGATAACGAACAGTCCGTTTACTATATAAGCCCAGGATGAGTTCTGCATTGATAGTAGTACATTTTGTAATCTACAAGAGCAAAACATTAATTGTCAAAGATGATTTCCAAAGTAGTACTTTCCGCTTTCGTTGCTTTGCTTGTCGCTCAGGTGGCCTTAGCAGATCCTGAACTCTGCCCTGAACCATCAGAAGCGTAAGTTTTACATTACATATATAAAATTTTTCAAATTAAGTGCATTTCATAATTTTTCACTCGGAAAAAATGCTAAAATGTCTGCTACATATCAATAAAGTGGTTTAATGTTCATTTAAAAACGATTGTTGTGATCATATTTCGAGGTAACACGTATTTTTTAGTAAAGTTTAAAATAATTTGTTGCAGGAAACAACTCGTCTACAAGCAAAACGTTCATGAGGATGCTCCTTTATTTGGAAGGACCGAAAAGGATTATGTTATTCCACCCCTCGAGAAAACTGTTAGTTGTATAATCGTAAGTGTTCACCTTTTCTTCGACACACGTTTAAAATAACGTATTAGTCAACAACTATTAAAAAATTACAATTTAGTATACTTTCTCATAGCATAGTAACAGGTTAAAATATTTCCTTTTAATTCTTTGTGATTCTTGCAAATGAATATATGTATAACTAAGTTACCTATTTTTTTGCAGCTATCTGGATCTGCTACTGGTTCTATCGCCTCCGTTGGATTTTCAGATGAAGGTATAAAAGTTAGATTGGTTTCCGAAATCAAAAAAGGTTTTGACGCTGTGATTGAAGTCTACACCAAAGAAGAGTAAACTATATATTTTGTATTATTATTTTTATATAAATAATAATTTTTATTTCTTTGTTTAATTTTTCTTGTACTAAATCATTTGTTATAACATTTACACAACTTTCCACGAGAGAAATAGACGCAAACGGAATGAATATCGACAATAATTTGCTGGTTCAATATATTTCTATACCAACGATCCCTAAACTGGTCTTATTGACCCCTAGGGGTCGACTACGAATTGCAAAGGGTCCATGTTAGCGAAAACAAAAATTGGGGGTGCATGAGATGTAAACGGAGGTACCTATACGAGAAAGGAACCGATTTAAGTAGGTCGTTGACCGAAATTTCCATAAATGGAATAAATAATACTTTCTTATAATAGACATATGAATTACATACAAAAATTTAATTATTATTATTATTATTATTATTATTATTATTATGGACTATTGCGAGAACATTATTGATAAGCCTTTCCATCCTCATACCACAGCAAATAAAACAATTATATGCTGTGCTCATACCTTGTGGAACGGGACATCAGCGCGGTTGCCAATTTTCTTACAAAAAAAAAGAAACAGATCGAGCAGATTGAACGTTAAAAACATTCATTTTTTGTGTAATTATTTTATGTTATAATATTCAAGATTTGCATTCTGTCGTTTTAATTAATAAATGTATAAAACTTGACATGTGGTTTTCACTCTACAGTTAGATCTATAAAAGTGAGCAGCACTGTGTCAGCTATCAAAAACACATTTGAAGCTGATGAATTTGTAATAATACAATATTAGAAAGGTGGGAGGGGGTTCTGCCCAAAACAGGAAAAAATGGCACGTGGTCTAACACGACAAAAAAGTTTGGGGACCTCTGTTCTATACAGGGTGATTCAGAACTTATCCAAAAAAATTTGGGAATAGATGCGGCATGAGAAATGGAGTCAATATCGTAAAAAAATTTTTGTAAAATCGTTATAGTTTCCGAGAAAAAAAATATTGAAGTTATAGTACATTCAACGACTACATAGCTGGACAACTGTAGTCTCTAGCGTCATTTGCAATGCGCGTGGAGAGCCACGTGGCCTCAGTGACTCCGAATACTGAAATCGTATTTTGCAATCGTCGTTGCAACAGTATTTACCTGTTCTCTGTGGTGTTTACAATATTTTTTTTAGTAGTTAGTGTCAAAAATGGGTAGTTAGTGTCAAAAATGGTTTGCGTGTAGGTATAGCAACTCGGAGTTGATGGATATCGTTTTAATTTATGGTGAAGCATTTGTGTTATGGTGAAGCAAGACAGCATTTGTATTAGTTCATAGAAACTGAGTAAGACGGACCCAAATGTCTTTACACGTTGGTGGATTTTGAATAATTGTTGTAAAATCGGGTATGTCAAATGATTTTATTATTTAAAAACACAAATTAATTGTATTAATTAATAAAGGCAAAAGCAGTTGAATTTGCCGATATAAAATAGGTGCGATAAAATTCTATTTACATATTTCTTTCTTTGCGAAAATTTTTGTCCGTTTTTATCACACCGCTATGCCGGTCGCATTGTGCGAGGTCAGGTTTTACAGTTTCCAGTGCCGTGCAGAAGTGTATTTTTAAATCATTTTCGAACTGCTCTTTTTGATTTTTTCTTTACAAAATTGTATTTGTAAGGGTCCTCTGTACATCCAGAATTTTTGTTTAGATAAGTTCTGAATCACCCTGTATACGAATATCATAAATAGTTAAAAATACATTTTAGATGAAAAACAATATCATTTCTGAACATACGAAAAATTCTCGACGTTAATTTCGTCCTATACTATTAAATCAGAGATTAAAGTCCTCTGGCTAATATTTGCAATAGATTCTTTTAGTGTGACATCACATATTTAGGCAACCCGCAACAAATTGTCATAGTTGAAATTGTACAGACCGAATGTACTATTTACATAGATACTATAAAAATGAACATCTTTAAATTAATTATCATACAAGTCGATATTTTTCTATAAATTTCAATAGGTATATAAATTATATAATTCTATTATAGTTTGTCACTTGGGGTTTGAAACTTCTTAAATATTTCTAATATTGCCAGGATATCGCAATATCTAAGGTCATGACAACTAATAGCCATTCTTTTAGCACTTATGTCCAAAGTACATAAGGTCGAAAATCGATCTAATAAAAATATTGAGAAATTCTTCACGACCTTGCCTATTATTTGGCGTATGTGACGTCACTACTAAAAAGCTTTAAAGACACTGGTCCGTGGCGTTTTGGTGCGTGGCTTGAAGTCATTGGCCCGTGCCATTCCGATCCTTGATTTTTGCGGATGAATCGCTTCCAAATTCCGAAAATAGTTGTAACCCCTTGTCTGGATTGAAATTATTGCAATATTTCTGGATTTCTGTTGCCTCCATTTAGAGTTTTAGATAAAATTCTTCTCTCTCGATCACCAGAAGTCTGATGTTATTAGATCTGTCGTGTGTCTTGTATCTGCCATGCGCTCAGCGACAGCTGATTGAAATACTGAAAAAATGTTCAGTCTTATATCCGAATCAATACAGAATTAATTAACAAAGGAAATATATGACTGCTAAGAGGAAACAAATAAAGTATAATAAACTAAAACTGTAACACAATCCAATTTAGGATTCCCGCATTATTAACATCTATACTCCGCGGTCGAAATTATAGAGAGTGACTAAGGCATAATATAAAAACACTATTACCATAATGCGTATAAAATATAAAATGAGTTTTATACGGTTCAATATTATTTATCTTTGTGCCGCTCGCTACGCACATCGATAGAATCTATAATCATCTAGAGACCGAGTAACACTGAACGTCGATCTATATTCTATCTCTGTCTTTTTCACTTGGTAGGGAATAGGGAAATGCTTTTTTAGTGGGTGTAAACGGACTTGACTTAACCCGTCCTGAGAAACGTCATAGCATAAGCCTAGACGAGGGGTCTAATTCCATGGCTATAATAAATTTATAAATTAAAAAAACACATTTGGGACGTTTTAAAATGCTGTAATAATTAAAATGGATTAAAGTGCCTGTTATAGCAAACCGTAAAAAAATATTAGATGTTATGTTTTATTATCTTTTTTCATTATTTTCTATATCTTGTTGCCTTTTACGCAGACACGGCAATGGATTTTCGTTCCCGGCACGCTTCATTCCCCTTATTAGTCCAAAAGCTAGCGATGAATCACTCTCTATAATTTCGACCGCGGAGTATAATAAAGTTTTAACTTCATCGTGCTACAGTTAGTACGTTTTGCTGACACGTGTTTGCTACCATAAAAAAAGTCTTGTCGCCATATGATGGTTCAGTTAGAATTTTGTTTTAGTCGACTGTCTATATGTCCCAAGTGAGTTGCTTTGCTCGGGTAAGTTAATGTACTTTTTTATTGATCCAATTGGGGTTAGTCAGTCCTTAGTGGTAGCAAATTAGGGCTCACTTACTGTAACTGAGGCCTCACTTAATAATTTCCAGAATAAACCGGAATTCGGCTCAGTGCGCATGCGCGATTACGCGTGCCTTATTATGCTGACCATGGTTTCGCCCATAGAGAAGTTAGAAGTTTCGCCATTTTGCTGTAACACGTAACACGGGATATACGTTCGTCAATCGTTAGTTGTTGGGTCCTTTATGATAAATAGATGTTTTGTCATCTAATGTTGAGTCAGTTTTCAGTTGTCTAACAACCGCCAGATAGTTTTCAATTTGGGTATTTGCGTAGGTATCCAATAATAGTACTTATATGCATGCATGATTACATGCACACAATGCAGGCTGAATACAAACTCTTACATCTCGAATGGGGATTTCAAGATTATTTATGCTCGTTTGAAGATATGTACAACATTTTTAGTTGCATTGCATGGTGCACGAAGAGTGAGGAGACCCAACAACACCGAAAAATAGTAAATACGGAGTTGACTCACTTGAAGTTAATGAGTTGACTCTATTAGGGTTAATGAGTTTACTCGCTTGGGATTAATGAGTTGACTCATTTGGGGTTAATGAGTTGACTCGCTTGGGATTAATGAGGACTCGCTTGGGGTTAATGAGTTTTCTCGCTTAGGGGCTAATGAGTTGACTCGCTTGGGGCTAATGAGTTGACTCACTTGGGATTAATAAGGACTCGCTTGGGGTTAATGGGTTGACTCTTTTGGGGTTAATGAGTTGACTTGCTTGAGGTAGCAAAGAGATTATAGCAAAATTGTCTAATTACTGCCAGTGAGTTCCTTCCAGCAAAGCAGTTTTTCTTGTGGTAAGAACGCAACTTTTTACTAACTTTAGCAAAGAAATTCTCTCAGTGTAGATTTTTATAAAAGAATGTTAAAAAATAAATGCTGCTGAAACATTTTATGGGAACTGTGCTTCCTCACTATCACTTAGATAATTTTAAATTTCTTCATTAATGATTTTTTTTCTTTCATGGAGTCTCGATGGTAAAATTCTTATGGATACGTTTTTCGGCGAAACAACTCTATATAAATTTAAATTATAATTAAACTAATTATAAATTTGTTATTCGTACATTATTTTATATTTTGCACAGGTATTTAAAAAATAAACATTAATTGGAAAATAGCGTTTTTCTTCCGAATGAAGTGAAAAAGAAGTACATTATGTGTTAGAAATATTATTATCAATTAAAGCATTTATCGAATTTCAAAAAGATTCAGTGACCTTGAGATTATGTGATTGACATTGCTCCCCTTAACCTCCGCCCCAGTAACTCCGCCACTGGCTAGTGGATTTGTAAATTAGTTCAAGGATTTTTTACCTTCAGTTAATCTATTTACAATGTTACCCATTTCAAATGGAAACTCTTCTTGAAAGATCAAGCTTTTATATATCACATAACTTTCGCTAATATTTTTAGTTATCAAAACCTTCTTTTTATCTCTTTGGCAAAAATGTATTAGCGATATTTTTATATAAAATCTGACTACGCTGCTTAAATATGCACCCTTTCAATGTGGTTTGTACCGAATTTCAAGAAAAATGTTCGTTGGTTATTTTGAAATTAATATTACCTAAACATTTCTCGTTTCCGTTCTTCTTAAACAGGATAAATAACCTACGGGATCATAAATAAATTAGACAAATAAATGAGATGTTCCTAATTTGTTTTCCTTAAAATGTGCAGTTCCAAATTAAAAAATTAAATTTAAGTCTATGATTCAATTTTCGTGCAGTCCCAGTGCAGTTTTATTACCCGTTCCTACGCCACTGACCTGCAAAAATTTCTAAATTTTACAATAAATTATGCATGTGTATAAATATTAACATCACACAAAATTTGAATCAATTTATTGTTATAAGCATACCAAACATTTCGTAAATAATATGATTTTAACAACCGACTAATACGGCCCTGTACAGTGAAAACGGTGAGACTTAGACTCTTACTTTATAAGGCAATTCTAAATTATTTATTGAGTTCTATTTATGGTTAAAGTGATTCACTCGAACTGAAACACCCTGTATTGCGATATCACTTCAATCTGGTTAGGTACGATTTGTAAGTATCGATATCTATTGACATTCCTAAGTGTTTATTATTTGTAAAGTATATTTATTTACCTATCTATACTAGAAAATATATATTGTTTATTTATTTCATGGCAATAAATTATACCGAAAAAAAGCACATTTAAATGTTAGTGACTTTTAGTGACTTTTCATCTTTAATGTTTAGACTTTTGACAGAAGATGTTGGCAACACTCACTGTCTCTAATGTTTGTAGTGGAGTGAATAGTCATCTCTACCTGTTTTAAAAGACGTAATTAAAATATTAAATATATAATGGAAATACTGGCACAACATCTAAAAAGCATTAAAATTCCAAGTTCTTTAGACAAGGTATATAAAGATGAGTGTGTATTTTCCTTCGATAATCCTGTAAGTACAAATATACAAAAAACAGGTTATGTTTTCTAATAATCTAAATTTAGGAAACTGATACCGGCTTATACGTTAGTTTGTCCAGCTTTATTGGTTTAGGACGAGATCATCTTGAAAGATATTTTAGGAAGACAGGTCAAGCCGTATATTTGCACCTTAGGAGAGAAAAACATGAGGTAAAATCAATACAAGAAACAAGTGTTTTTGCTTTAAAATTATCCCGTTGCTATTTCAAATTTATTGTAACAATTACTATTTCAGAGAATGAACTTTTCACAAAATCAATATCTTAATTGCCCAAATTTATTATAATGAATGATGTTCATTCTGTGAATAAAAACCTTAAAAATTGATTTATTAGTATTTCCATAAATCATATTAATGTATTGTTATCTACTCTATATATATTTTAATAACGACTTCCCACTAAGGTTACTTTAAAAATTAGGAATTTTAATTCATTAGGTTTCATCTCCACAACAGGGTGATGGTCCAGAAAAGAAAATTACTCGTCTAGCTATAGGAGTTGAGGGCGGATTTGATCCTGACTCAGGAAAAAAGCGATTTGAATATGAAGATATTTACAGTATTGTCATTCTACCTGACTTCACATCTATTAATTGGCCAAATGAAAATTTACCCGAAATAGTAAGGTTTTTTTTTAAATGATTTGAAGTGAATATATTAAAGAAATTTCTTTTTATATTAAATGTTATTAGGTTAAAGCATCGGTACAGGGTACAATAGACTTGCCTTCTGCTAGTAAATTGGCAGAACTTGAAGCTCTCAGTGGTACTTGGGATGGAGAGACTCGTATAGTGTCCAAACACGCGCACAATTTGGTACAGTTAAATAATGGAAAGAAGATACCACCCACAGGTTGGAAGTGTGAAAAATGTGATAAAACTGACAATCTGTGGTTAAATCTTACCGATGGAACTATTCTTTGTGGAAGGAAGTTTTATGATGGGACGGGAGGTAATAATCATGCTATCGAACATTATAGTACAACAAGCTATCCCCTTGCGGTTAAATTGGGAACGATCACAAAGGAAGGAAAGGGTGATGTGTTCAGTTACAGTGAAGACGACATGGTCGAGGATCCTAATCTAATACAACACTTAGCTCACTGGGGTAAGTATCAATCTTATTCTTACATTTTTTATATTAAACTTGATGCTAAACTAATAGCAAAATATGTTGTAAGTAACATAAACTGCTTAAGAATTTTTTAGCACAAAATTACGATTAGAGAACAGGATGTATTTAATTTCAGGGATAAACATTGCAAATATGGAAAAAACGGAAAAATCTATGGTGGAACTGGAGCTAGAATTAAATCAAAAGACAAATGAATGGGCTGCCTTACAAGAGAGCACTGGATCTTTGAAACCTATATACGGTCCCGGATATACCGGAATGACCAATATGGGAAACTCGTGTTATCTTAATAGCGTAATGCAAACGCTATTTAAAATACCAGATTTTATTCACAAGTACTTTGATGGTGCTGAATCTATTTTTTCTAATGCTACGGGAGATCCAGCAGAGGATTTTAATATTCAAATGTAAGTTTATTTTTTTTTTAATTTGTGTTTAATATAAAATTATAATAGGTATTCACAAACAAAATAATTTTCCAATGAAACAAATCGCGGCAATATTCATCCTCCAGTTGTTGACTTCTGATTAAAAGACGGTTTGTATCGCGGTTTGCTGTAACCTTTTGGACCACTTGGAAGTGGACGAGACCTTATTTGACAAAAATCTTCACTGGGGGTGAATTGTTGTGTTATCGGTACCACCCTGTGACAAAACTACAATCTTCTCAGTGGGAAGAACGAATTCTCCTCGCTCGAAAAAGGCGCAGCAAGTTAAATTGGCCGTGAAGACAACATTGATGTTTTTTCAATATTCGTGGCATTGTTCACTCAGAGTACACCCCTGTGCATCAAATGGTGAACCAAAAAATAGGTTTTTTTTTACAAAAGACGCCTGTGGAAATCTCCAATAGGTTTATACAAAGGTTAGGTTTTTTAAGTTATATTTTTTTAACCCGTGTTACTCATTTTTATTAAAATATACAGGATATTCCGAAAATATCATGCCAGATTGAGAATATTGAAAACATTATTGTTCGCAAAAAATTTCTTATGTCCGTAACTGCGTATTTATTATTACGGTTCTCAAGACTACTCAGCCTCAAGTAAGACAAACGTCATTATTTTCTATTTAATATAGTGACATTTGCTGTAATACGGGTCTTAATTCCAAAAATACAGGATGATCAAATGAAATTTGATGTTTTCAGTTAGTCGTAATAATTTTATATAAAAATAGCTTCTTTGTTCAACTGTCAGAAAAAGGCAATGCTTTAAAATTTCTAGTAATTTCTAATAATGCCGTCAAAATTGAAGGCATCATACAGGGTGGTGAAAATTTTATACCAAGTTTGGTCGAATTAAAACAATCAAAACATGATATTTTGTAAAATTGTATGAAGACTCTTATTAGTTAAAAAGTTCTGTAAAAACTTAAATAAACAGAAATAAACATCATGACATCAATTCAGTGGTGAACAAAAGCAGTCACTGACATAAACAAAGGTAGAAAATGACGATTTTTACTTACTGTCGCAGTGACAATAATTTATTTTGACAGATGTATTAAACTAATAGAAGTTCTGATATGACCTTGAACTTTATGGGCTTAAAATTAAGTAAAAAATACACAGAATAAAAACCTAAATTTGTGTATTTGTAGAGGTCGAGCGTCATATTGTTTATAACAAAAGAAAAAAAATAAATGCTCATTTTTCAGTTTTTCGCTTATATCTCCGAAAATAGGCCTCTAATTGACATGAGGTATACTTATCGATTTTGTTCCTGAGGAAATTTGCTACCAGGATAGGCTTTTGCAGAAGCTTGCTACATTTTTTTTACATTGCAAAATTAGTGGTGAGAAAAAATGTGCAAATAGTGAATATAACATTTTGCCACATTCAAATCACGTGCTCTACAACGTAAACTTGAAAAATTCATCGAAGTCTAAAATATATATATTAAATATTTATTTTACTTTTAAAAATTAAAAAAGACAACTTTCTCTTGCAATACAATTCATTAAATATGGTAAAATTGAATGTAACAGTTGATATTGTAACATTCAATAATATTCTAGACAATTTATGCAATAACTGTAACAGTTAATTTTAAGACAATATTGGATACGTCGACCTCTTCTCAGCATGGCAAATAGAATACTGATCATTTTGTTCAAAGAAATAATTGACTTGTTTTTAAATACGTAAAAAGATCTTACTTTTCAAAATATCGAAACATAATGAAATTACAAAAGAAAACGTGAAGACAATAAAAATATATTTTTTGAGGTCTGGTGATGACTTTCACAGACTTTTGCTTACACCATTCGAAAGAGCGGAAAAAAGTTGATTTAAAAAAAAGCATTCCGGTAGCTACTTTCTAAATGCCACAATCCAACTAAGAATTTTGAGAAATCGTGTGCAGCTATGACGTCACAGCACTCCCCTCTCCTGGTTACCGCTCAGCTGCACGGGCTGCCACGCGGATCACTCTGTCTTTAACGCAAGTTTACTTGGTCATTACTTGGTGGAATCCATTAAAAAAAAATTCGGCATATAAAGGAAGTCTTTTACAAAATATTAAATAGAACAACCAGAATACTGTTTTTAAGAAAAAAAATTATCTCGGCTCCTATTGGTCAGATCGAGACGGTTTTTTTTAGATTCATGTTTCTTTTAGGCACTATTTAATATAATTCGTTTGAAACCTATACAGGGTGGTCGCGATGTAATGGGCCAAAATTCATGACTAGCTTCCTGACTTGAAAATATTGCTATTTAGACAAACTCACCTTAGTCCAAAAGTTGATACTTACAGAGATACAGGGCGTTTAATGCAAAATGTTATTTTAGTTTTTTCTTATTTATTTCATAATAAATGCTCATATCGAGATGAAATTTTGGTGTTAGGGGTTTTCTGGGGCGAGAGATTAAAATATATCCATGGTTTGCTTGTAGCTCATAGAGAGCGCCACCTGCGCTAGGTCGAATGCGTTGAAAACGACAACTTTTTTATCTTTCAAAAATCTAATTCTCAGGTAGCAAATTCTGATTTTACAACTTCTTTACACAAAAAAGCTATACTTTTTGATAGTCGCTATCTTGCACCGTTCTCGTAAAATTTGCCATTGAAAATTCCAATGTATTTGCATTCAATTACAAATCGGCAAAAATTTTCAAGTAGTCTTATGTTAAAATCCAATTTTGACATTTTCCATTTATCTTAGTGCTGTCAGTAATATTACAGTATTATTTGTGCCTTATTAAAAGTATTCTTTACTTTATGATCTAAATCATAGTGCGAGATAACATGCCACGCCATAATTTATTTTCAAATGGAGAAATGCGCGATATGGTTTGTGTTTATGCGCAATCAGATTATGTTGGACATTGAGCGCTTCGTCGGTATTCAGAGTTGTATCCGAATAGAAGGCAACCAAATCGGAAACTATTTCAAGAACTTTTTAATAGATTTGGAGAAACTGGTAGTTTTCGTCCTAAAAGAGACAACGCAGGGCGTACTGTTACAGTTCACCAAGAAGAAGAAATTTTAGTAAGAGTGGCCGGAAATCCAGAAGTTAGCAGCAGGCAGGTAGCTAGAGAAACCGGTGTTAGTAAAACAACAGTTCTCAAAATCTTTCACAAGGAAAATTTATATCCCTACCATTTTACACCTGTGCAAAATCTTTTAGCAGCAGACTTACCAGCTAGATTACAATTTGCTCATTTTATGCGCAATCAGCAAAACCTTGACCAGGAATTTTTGGATAATGTACTATTCACTGATGAAGCGACCTTTACTCGTCGAGGAATTTTCAATTTTAGAAACAAGCACATATGGGATAATGAAAATCCTCACGTAGTCAGTGAGCGTCACTTCCAACATGAATTTAAGATAAATGTTTGGTGCGGAATCATAGGAAATCACCTTTTGGGTCCACATGAGCTTCCTCCAAATCTAAATGGTGACTTGTATTTAGATTTCCTGCAGCACCATTTAGTTGACTACCTCGACGATTTACCACTGAATACACGGCAAAATCTATTTTTCATGCAAGATGGAGCTCCCCCTCATTATTCTGTCAGAGTACGGAACTATCTTGACCACATTTTTCCGGATCGTTGGATCGGTCGTGGGAGTCGAATATTATGGCCTCCTCGTAGTCCTGACTTTAATCCTATGGATTTTTGTTTCTGGGGCTACATGAAATCAGTTGTCTATAGAGAAACTATAAACACCCGCGAAGAGCTATGGCAGAAAATTGTAAATGCCGCCGAATCATTTCGTAACAAGAATCTCTATTTTAAAATACGGCAGTCTTTGAACAAACGCGTTAATAAATGTATTGAAGTTGGAGGCGGACATGTTGAACATTTATTGTAATATTCGATATTCAATTGTTCATCACAATTTATAATTTGAAATAAACTCTTGTTCTTTTTGACATTCGTACCTTATTTTGATTACTCGAATTACCAAAGCTAAATATCTTGAGAACGGTGCAAGATAGCGACTATCAAAAAGTATAGCTTTTTTGTGTAAAAGAAGTTGTAAAATCAGAATTTGCTACCTGAGAATTAGATTTTTGAAAGATAAAAAAGTTCTGTCGTTTTCAACGCATTCGACCTAGCGCAGGTGGCGCTCTCTATGAGCTACAAGCAAACCATGGATATATTTCAATCTCTCACCCCAGAAAATCCCTAACACCAAAATTTCATCTCGATATGAGCATTTGTTATGAAATAAATAAGAAAAAACTAAAATAATATTTTGCATTAAACACCCTGTATCTCTGTAAGTATCAACTTTTGGACTAAGGTGAGTTTGTCTAAATCGCAATATTTTCTCGTCAGGAATCTAGTCATGAATTTTGGCCCATTACATCGCGACCACCCCGTATATTAAAAAATCGACAAGATATGGACCCTATTTACTGTTTTTTTTAATTTTTTGTTAATAACGTTTTTATTTTGCAACTTAAAAATCTGAAATTTAGGCAAAAATGAGACAATGTAATCACCTTTCGATACTTTTTTACCGAATTTCGATATCTTCACTTGGGCAGACGATACACATGCTCGCATTTTCGACTTTATAATTTTGCATTAGGCCACCATTTTGAAATTGGGGGTCCGGATTGCGGGTATTTGTTGAGCACCCCAACAGTTATCTTTTCCTGTGGTTTCATCTAATTTCAGTCAAATTCGTTATTTTTATTTAATGCTGAAAATTTTGCACATTATTTTTCACCGCTAATTTAGCGATATAAAAAAAAATTGGAGAGCTTCCGCAAAAGCCTATTCTTGTAACAAATTTCCTCAGGAACAAAATCGATGAGTATAACTCATGTCGATTAAACGCTTATTTCTGGAGAAATAAGCGAAAAACTGAAAAAAGAGCAATTATTTTTTTTTCTTTTGTTATAAACAATATGACGCTCGACCTCTACAAATACACAAATTTAGGCTTATATTCTATGTATGTTTTGCTTAATTTTAAGCCCATAAAATTCGAGATAGGCCCGATTTTTGAAACAGGCATGTGTTTGGTTTAATTCGCCCGGATCTTGGTATGTAATTATTGAAATGAAATATTGGACATGAATTAGCTTTCAATAGTAATTACTAGTTATTAGTAGGAACCTAAATTATTTAAATAGTATGAATTATGCTCTAAATTTCATCAATAACTTTTTAATTTCTTTTACTGTAGGGCTCAATTTTTTATGTTAAAGTCTTCAATGTAAGATTTCAGGTGGTTTTATCCTATAACATGAACCTGTAATTATTTTAGTCTTTTACGTTAATCCCTTTTATGTACGTTAAAACTGCTGTAAAGGAATTATTGCTGCCTTTAAATAGATTTTGTTAATAAAGTCTGAAGCAATCCAGTCTAGAAATCATCAGAGGTTTGTAAAAAATCCAAAAATCAGAACAAAATCCGCAGTCTTTGGATATTGTAAGGAATCTTAATAGTCTGGAAGATTGCACAGAAATCCCAGGATTCTTTAAAAAATTGCCGCAATACATGTCCATTTTCTTGATAGTGAAACACCCCTTGGAATGCTTTGATAACAAATGTGATCCACTGCTATTTTAACTCCAAAGTAGTGGATCAATGAATTGTCTCAATTCAAGGACTTTAATAAAAACCCGTGATTTTATCAGTTCACTAAACTCAAGTTTTTGTCAGTATAATAATTATGTTATTGTTCTAAAATTACTGGAAAACTTATGTTGATTGACAATAATCATTACATTTCCAATTTTTTCTAATATAAACAAGGTTAATAAAGTTCAGGTTTTTAATGTTTTAATGCCTAATATCATTATTTAAAAATCATTTGAACTAGTACATCATAGACCATCACTCCCAATTACTGTACTGACTCTAATGTGTAATAAACTATAGGGGCGACGACATAGATTATATCACCCAGTATAAAAATTAATATTCAAATATTTTTAGGGCTAAATTGGGTTACGGCCTTTTGTCCGGGAAGTATTCAGTTCCTCCTCCTCCAGGTTCTCCAGTGGATGCAGATCCTCCAGGAATTTGCCCTCGAATGTTCAAGACCTTGATCGGTAAAGGTCATCCAGAGTTTTCGACAAAGAAACAACAAGACGTCCACGAGTTTTTACTTCACCTTTTAACTTTGTTAGAACGCAATTCGAAGAACCATGAAAACCCAGGTGAATGCTTCAAATTTCAAGTAGAAGAAAGGTTTCAGTGCAGTACCAGTAAGAAAGTAAAATATCTCACTCGGTCAGAAGTTATTTTACCTCTTTCGATACCTCTCGATGCAGCTGTAAATAAGGACGAAGTAAGTTTAAATACGGTCTTTGTAATAGTTCATAAAATTTTCCCTTCTCAGGTATTGTACAATCATTTCCATTAATTTTTCCCTTGAAAGCTGCTTTAAATTGTAAACAGGCTCTCCTACAAGCTGGCTCTTCATAATGGCCAAACATATTTGATAGGGTTTCTGTCAGGAGATTGGGAGGGCCAATCCATAGTGACAGTGCCATTTTCCTCCTTCCAGCCTCAGCAATGACGGCTCCGATGCTTCGGGTCGTTGTCTTCTTGTAAGACACAATTTTCGTTGTTAGGTCCAAACATCTTGGCTGACTTGAAAAGGCCACATTTATAAGTTTTGAGCTTTTTTTTTACCAAATCCAGCTCCAAATATTCAAATTTACGCTTTGAGAAGCACACTCAGTCATTCACTTTCACAACTTTCACAGGGCGTTGAATGAAATCGGTACTATTCGCTAACCAGGCATGCTTCACCCGAACCCATGCCCAGAAAGTTGCTTCGTTCGAGAAAACCACCTTCGACCAATAGCGATCTTTATTTTCCCTCCACAGCTTAGGCGTTTCTGCAGATGGGTTGCGCTATGCAGTGGTTTCGAGCTCATATGACGATATAATAATTTTGCCGTGTGCAAACGTCACGTGATCGTGTTTACGTTAACATGAATTTCCTTCTTGGCAAGTTTGACCTTGACTTCGCGCAAGCGCAGAGTGGTATGACTCTTAAACAACTGTACAATCACTTTTTCAAGTTTGTTGAACGTTGCTCTCGCTTTCCAACTCATTTTGACAAACGGATGCCCTTTTGAACGTTTCGAGCGGTGCTGAAATGAATTAGTAATGGCATCTAACCCATCCATAGTAGAATCGCGCCGGAAAAGAGAGAAATACCTTTTAATTCACTATTAAAAATCTCGCCTCCTTTGTGTTATGTATTGCTGTCACTGTTTGTTAAAGGTCCACATATTAGATTTACTAATAATACCGCCGAAGAAAAATCTAAACAGCTAAACATTTCCAAGCTGTTTGATGTAATAAATATGAAAGTTAAATACAATTTGATTTTTGGTCAATTTTTTTTAACTGAAAATCACGTGACATTGGCAATCGAAAGAGCGGAAGTTTTCATACTTTTACTTTTAGCGTTACCCAGGAACAACGACGTGGACGTAGTAATTTCTGTTCCCTTTAGGGTGCTTGATTATCGTGAAAAAAAAATTTTGACCTTGATGGACACCTAGAAGGTCGAGTTTGTGGTCACCACTAATTGCAATTAAACAAAATAACTAAAGTGAGCTTTGTACTATTTTCATCAACTGCGTCCTTCGGAGATATCCAGCCCTCAAATTTAAATAACCTTTGAATGACCTTCAAGGTCAACGCTGATTTATGACATTAGAGGTTTTGGACTTAGAATTTCCTGTTCTTTCGATTGGCGACGTCGGAAAAGGGGATTTCCATTTAAAAAATGGAGGTGACCTTGAAATAATCTTCAAGGTCAAGGTCAAGTCCAAGGTCACCATTGAATTTCTCGTCAAAAGTTACTACAAGAAAATTTTTCCAAAAAAAATTTACCTGGGAAATTATTCTGGTGTTTCCAGACGTTTTGGACACCCGGTATAAGAGGGCTTTATAGCAAATGGGCAATCAGTAATACATTTTTATAGATTTTATTGCACACTTTGTCTAAATATGAATTAATGCACAAAAAACGGATTTTTTTCCATTCTAACGCAAATTTTCTATAAAATGGACTTTGTTTGAAACTTGAAGTACTTTTTGTTGTAAAGAAATTTGTAATTTGCCACATTTGAACATGCAGCATCGTAAATTACAAATTTCTTTATACCAAAAAGTAATTTGAGTTTCAAATTAAGTTCATTTTATTAAAAAATCTGCGTTAAAATGGGGGAGAGTCTGTTATTTGTAAATCAATTCATATTGACTGTGTAAACATCATAAAATGTAAAACTGTGTATACATCTATAAAAATGTATTATTGGTTGCCTATTTGCTCTTAACTTATTTTCATTTTGTGATGTGGTTAAAAAGTTGGAGAACACCCCGTTGCACTATAATATTTTTAGGTAGCTGCATATGAAGCGAGGAAAACCGAAGCTGAAAGTCTCGGAAAACATTTGGCACCCGATTCGGTTGTACGGCCAAGAATAAAATTTTTCTCTTGCTTGGAATCCTTCACACAGTCCGAAGTGATAAATAACTTTTATAGTACAGCGGTTGGTAACAACGTAACGGCTCGAAAGTAAGTGCAATTCAAATAAGTTAAATTTAAATTTAAGTTAAATATTTTGAAGATACGATGAGTTGATGGAGTATATCAATTTTTTTTAATGTACTCCAGAACTGGGTATAAATACAGAAAATATTCAATCCATAAATACAGTGTTCTAGCCATGTGACCAATATATTCTTATAACTTTTTTATTAAAAATTAAAAATCATCTATTTCTCTGAAAAGAAAGTTTACGTTTTTTAGAATAGATTGAAAAAAACAAAATATAAAATTCATTCATTTTGCTGCTTGTTATGATTTTTTAAATTTCTGAAATCATCCCTTAACTTCTAGTCTTCTCCTCCTGTTAATTTTAATAGTACAAGAAAAAGTCGATAGACCATTTTTATGTAAAATTTTATGCTCTAACTTTTATAAGATTTTTTGTAACTCTTACCCCTTTTGAGTTGAAAAACCCCTTTATCTTTTTTCACCCCTGTCTGGGCGTTGAAAAAAAAAATTACTGTCACTTATTGTTATAATATACCTTAAACTAACTCGTATCAAAAATTCAGGCAAGTTGACCAAAACTGCGTTTTAGAGGCCCATTTAATTGGACTTACCCAATTAAATAAAAACAGTTTCTGATTTAATATTTTCTCAAACTCCCATATTATTATTATTATTTTGATATGCAAAAGTACATGTATTTCCAGAACTACCAGATTGGCTTCATTCCCTGATTATTTAATAATACAATTAAAAAAATTCACCTTGCGGGAGGATTGGGTGCCAATTAAATTAGACGTTTCGATAGAAATGCCCGACATATTGGATATTTCTCCGCTACGTGGTGCTGGGCCACAGCCAGAAGAGGAGCTCTTACCAGAACCTGAAGTTCAACCACCAGCGCCTGTCATGGACCAGAATGTTCTTTCACAGTTAGCTGATATGGGTAAGTTAATGCATGTGCCAGCCTGTCCTAAATTGTCTCTCGATATTTTCAGGGTGTATAGTACATAGAAAAATAAGGGTACCTATGTCATATGCTGTATCTTAAATTTTATTGCAACTTAAAGTTTACTGGCACAATGAAACAAAACAAAGGTTTCATAACAGCCATAGATTAGCAGGTCACTTTGTGTCGGTAGGTACAATCAATCAAATTTCCATCGATGTCAAATTTAAATTGCAAAATTCACACGAAAAAGAGCCAGATGTGTTTCAAATTACCTTGGTTTTCAGGCTTTTATAGCAGTTGAACAACTTCGTTCTTGGCCAGCGTAACAACCAGCCAGGAAATTGTTCAACTATATCTTTTTCTTTCATATGAAAATTAATTTAACTCCTAAAGTTGATGTAAAAAATATTTATTAAGTAACTGTCAAAATTTTGTTTGGAGTGGTGTAGAGGTGCCTCGAGGGTAAGCGATTTGAAACAAAAAGTCGGTTGTTGCTTGTAAATGAAATGAATCGGATCCAAAAGATTCGTCTCCCAATTCATGTATGGTACATGCATATCTTGTGCACAGTTGTTCAAAATTAGTCGACGGTTCCAAATTCTGACTGCAGAAATTGAATCAGTTGAGTCAGAAAGGAGGGAGAAAGAGAGAGGGGAGGAAGAACGAGCGAGAGAAGGGGGAGAGTGAGGGAGGAGGGAGAAGGAGGAAGCGAGAGAGGGGGAAAAGGGGAAAGAGGAGAAGGGGAAGGAGAGACCAAGAGAGGGAGATGATATGGAGGCAAGTAGGAGGAAGAGGGGGAAAGAGGGGGAAAGAGAGAGAGGGGGGAAGAGAGTATTTTATATTTATTTTTGTTACCTGTTATGTCTTTTTATTCTGAACAAAAAAGTCAAGCGAATCTATCAAAACTAAAAAGTGTAGGTGTTTAAACTAAAATCTAAGTCAAAAGGAGATGGTGACTAGCTGAGTTATAATAGCTGGGTGTATTGGATTCGGTTTATTGTTAGGAGTAATATGAGTCGACTCCGGGATTCGATATTTCAATACTGAAATGAGTCATGAGTCTCCAATCCTAATAATGAGTCGTACTGTCCATCACTATCAAGTGGATACTGTTTTTTCGAAGCAGTCTTTTAAATAGTGGATTTGGTATTTCTGCTAAATATATCATTGTAATCCAAAAAGTTAGCTGAACTAAAAAATTAAATAATCTGTCAAAAGATGAATGTGAATCATAACGATTTCTGTTGGAATTTTCACTTAATTCCTAATTGCAATTGCTCAAATGAAAGGCTCCTCTAAAAATTGCATCGCGAATATATTTGTTAGAGCTTAAGTTATTGTAGACCCTATATTATTCATTATCTGTATTTACTTATATTTAAATATTAACCTTATCCTTTATTAGACAACCTAATTATTTGTGATAGTTTTTTTCAAAATCAAATTTTTAATCAAAATTTCACATGCTAAAAGAAAGAAATCCAAACTCTGAGAAACAAATCAGAAAATGAAAAAATAAAATGAGCAATACATTTTTCTTTCACACATTTTGATCTTCTTGCGATTACCTCCCAACTTTTCTGGATAGAAAGGGGTCTACGTGAAATAAAAATAAGAACTTGAACATCACAACCGAGCTATGCCCACAAAAAGCCGCCTTATGAACGAGAACATGGCGCCCAACGTGGGGCAACGTCAGAACTAACCACTTCCGGATCGTGAACAAAGGCTCTAATCCAAGTTTCACCGATCGAAATCATACTTCTGAGCATTGGAGTATGTAAATATAATGTTTTTCAGAAACTTCAGTATCAGCTCTGGAATCCAATTATACCTCTGGTCAATTAAGTGTATCTGATAAAAGTCCCAGGCTTCGATTTCAAAATATAACCATTTTAAATTTCACTATTCTCCACTTTCTGTCATATTTTCACATCAAACTAGAAAGTTAGACTTGACCTTTCACTCGGGCCTTCGGCCCTCAGGCCGCGCTGCGCGCGTCTTGGGCACCGCTCCGCGGTGCGTTCTGTGTGGGATATAAAATTTTCCAAAAAAAAAGAAAAATGCGACCCGCCCGTGCTTCGAACCCTGTAGTCCAGTCATTATAGACATGAAACAGCCTGTTTCGGAAAAAAAAATACTATTAGAAGTTTCTCTGCGGAATATTGTTCGGAAACGTGTTATAAACAAAATATCAAAAAATCTACTCGATGCTAGTTGGGAAACTTTGTTTAAACAATGGTCAAAGTTATGGAAAAGTGGTTTTTTGACTCGTGTAAAAAAAAACTATTATTCATAGCGAAAAAAAGTTTATACAGAAAAGGTAGGTATTAAATAAGCCTATAAAATGAGACAAGTCCGATTACATTCCGATAACTTGTTTATGCGCAAGAGCTCAAAAATGGTCAAAAATTGACTTTTTTTCAATTGCTAATTATTAATGCAATTTTTTCGCAGACACTTGTAATTTAGGATATTTGAGGCTTTTTACACCCTTAATAGGTAAGCATGCGCCCTACGCGCCTGGTAGCGCGCAGGAAAATGATCAAGCGGCTTCAAATCGATGGAGCTGGAAAAATTAGCCATATCTTGGTTAATAATGAACCTATCGAGATGATTCTTTTTTTAATTAGTGGTAGCGCGAAAATTTATGAGCATTGAAGCTATGGCATTAACATTATTTCAACCCGAGATTTAATTTTTTATTTATCCTCGCTCTTCTCACTCGTTTGCTAGACTGAGTAATATAACGTATCGCCGCTATCTTCTTTTTTGCAATTAAATAGTTGAATTCACCTTAATGTTAATGTAGGACATGAAAATATAGCTCTTAATGTATACTCTCTCCAAATTTCGGCTCTTAATAATTCACACTGCACTGCGATTAAATAAAAAAAAATGTTTCAACTTCTAGTCAACTTAGAACAACGATTTTTTTTAATTTGAAGAAAAATAGTACTAACTAAACTATAGATGTTAGTATTTCGTTTTATAATAATTACCTATCTTAACAATTTAATAAATATTGACATTTTTTCAGTCATTTTTGAACAAATTAAATTTGAAAAATTAAATTCTCAGTAATTGCATATGTCAATACAACTATTTAGGTACAAAAACAACTAATGATCGAAACTCTACAACGCCTTTAAGCTTGGGAAAACTCACTTGAAAATAGCTTCTTAGATAACAAATTCCGCCAACGCCATACTAATGAAGCTTTCGGGCTGAAATTTTTACCACTTATTAAGGGTGCAAAAAGCCCTCAAAAATCCTGAATTGTAAGTGTCTGCGATGAAAATTGCATTAATTATTAGCAATTGGAGAAAACGGCCATTTTCGACCATTTTTGAGCTCTTGCCCATAAACAAATTATCGGAATTTAATGGGACTTGTCTTATTTTACAGATTTATTTAATACCTACCTTTTTTGTATAAACCTTTTTTCTCTATGATTAATAGTTTTTTTACGCGAGTTAAAAAACCACTTTTCCATAACTTTGACCATTGTTTTAACAAAGTTTCCCAACTACTCTCGAGTTGATTTTTTGATATTTTGTTTATAACACGTTTCTGAACAATATTCCGCAAAAAATTTCTATAATGACTGGTCTACTGGATCTTTCGCTTCGCAGTCGTGAGTTTACGAAATGAGCTACGACGATCTAACGTTGGGTGGAGCTTGCATAGGCTATTTGAAACGTTGGTTCTCCGCGAATGTAAGCAGAAAATTGAAAATATTCAAATCAAGTTTTGTCGCCAAAGTTGCGTCTCTAAAAGATCGGAACCCATGCCTAACGGCATTGTAACGACTCATCGTGGCCCAATCGGCCAAATTTATTTTGACGGCTTCACTGACGTTTGTCTTCATCTCTCTTGAAATATCGAATATACTTCGGGTATCTCGCTCCCACCGAAAAAAGTCAATTTTCGGCGAGGACTCTTTTTAAAGTGAAAATTTCACATAGAAGGCGCGAACAGATCGCCTTCAAAATACGACGTTCGGATAAAGGAAGGACCGAGGAGTCCTTCGGGCTGCACGGCTCGTGAAGGAAGCCTTTGATAATACCGCACGCCTCTTATCGCGGCCGAGTGTGGGAGCGAGAGTAACCTACAGCTTTTAATATTCACACCAAATCTGCATTTTATGCAATAGCAATTATATTGTTACGTTCACGATGTAATATTTTAATGACCTCAACTTAAATGTTGTCATTTGATATTTGACCTTTACAGCTAGTATTTGTTTCAATAAATGTATTTATTTTCCCTATCCTCATTGTTTCTAATAAATCAGTTGTGTTTCACTTAACATTTGAAATATTATTTTATGTTGACCCCTCAACTCTCAATTTCATTGGAAATAAAAGATGCATTTTGGATTGTAGGATTTCCACCAGAAGCCTGTAAGAGAGCCGTATTCCATACTGGGAATTCGGGCTTGGAGGCCGCCACGGCGTGGATAATGGAACACATTGCAGATTCGGACTTTACCGATCCATTCGTAATACCAGGTACCCAGATTACGCAGTTTACACCGAATCAAGATTCGTTGGCTATGATCGTGTCGATGGGTTTCACTCCAGAACAAGCAACGAAAGCTCTTAAGGCCACCGATAACAATGTCGAGAGAGCAATGGACTGGATCTTCTCCCACCAAGAGGAATTGGATAACATTACCTCACCACCCCCGCCTTTGTTCAGAGACGGAGAAGGGAGTAAGTATTTTAAAAAATTATAATTTCTGTATGATTCGATGATACAAGTTTTAAAATTATCAGTGTTTTTTTAAATTTAAAATATTTTAAAAACTAGTTTATGCCAAACTTTGGATATATTAGTGTACGAATTAAAATTAGTGGATTTACAAAAGTTGTGAAATATTTTGATGAAACTGAGCTAGTTTCTTAAAATCTGATTATTCGGTAAAATAGGAGAATGGCTATGAATTGGAAAGTAATGCTTAATTTTGAGCAAACGATATGTGTTTGATAATTTATTTTGTCAATGACAGTTGTCAGAGAACAAATAATATAGTTTTTGAATATCTTTACCCAAAAAATTGTTGATGTAGTGCAATAACATGGAACATATTTCATTAAAACCTTTGTTTGACATGCCGTAATTAAATTATTTTTAATTAAAATTTCTAGAGATGGGCACTTTACGGAAAAGTGTGTTACGGACATGTCGATGAAATGTCCGGACATGTCGGGAAAAGTACTTTTGACCTTGAATCTAATAAGGTACCTATGAGTGATGTCATGTTTTCACAGGTCACTGCTTGGGGGTACACAAAGCAAAATATTACTTTTATTCTAATGAATATGTGTCGATATATTTTACTTATTACCTACCTTTAGACTTTTTTTATAAACTGGTTTCTACTTTTCCCCGGACAGCCAATACACTTATTTAAATGTTTTTCCATCCTTCTGGAATTCTTAAAAATTGTTTTTGAGCAGAAGTTACATTTATAATGATTTTTACTCAATTCAGAAAAATATTAGCAAACTGTTGATTTTGGCGTCATACTTCATTTATAAACTATTTGTGTATAATATATTAAATTAAGAATCAACTGGCTACTGTTTACTAATTGCTAATTGTTAACTTTGCCAAAAATAATAAAATATGGACATATAAAAGAGATTATATTTTTAAAATGTCAGTTTTAATTAACAATTAACAACAAAATTACAAGAAAATAGCTAAATATTTTTAATTCTACATGTACCAACCTAAAAATTTTTTTGCGGGAATTATGAATGCAACAAATAATACTGATCATGCGCATACAACTTTTCAATCTTGAAAACTGTCCTCAGGACATGACCACTTTTCACGACATGTCCGATGGACATGTCCAGCTGACATGTCGGCGGCACATCTCTAAAAATTTCTACTCTGTTTAAATCTTTACTTATCTATATCAATTAAGAAGTTTGACTGCCATTCTTCAGCATGAGATAGAGTAATCATAAATGAACAAAAAAAGTTGTATAATACAGGGGTGTAAGATTAACAGTTTTCAAAATACAGTGAGTATTAATATTGGGAGAGTTTCATCACCACGTGACAACAGCGCTTAACCTAATGCTACACAGCTGGTGCATACCACGTGTGCACGCGGTAGACTTGTCCTACGGAATAACAAAAATGTAAACAACTATTATTGTGAAACATTTAGTTTTCAAGACAATTGTTTTCCAGTTTTTAAATAAAATAAAATAGAATGTATAGATTTTGTAGTACGAAGATAGTGTTGTGCTTAAATTTTAGCTGGAATTTTAGTAATTATGTATCTCTTAAAATGGGAACTTAACTTTTAATCAAATTATGAATTTGAAAAATATGTAATTATTAAAGTACCCAAAGATTCACGTCATCCAAATAATTATACGTATTAAAAATAATTTAGGTACTTACTAAAAAGCAAAATTCAGTAATTTTTAAATGCACAAAGTACAAACAAACTACAACATTGCTCAAAACGTCCACTACCATTTTCGATGCAGGCACGACACCTCAAATCCAATTTTCGCGCACTCGCTGGAAAATACCTCAAGGAAAGGAAAATAGTAGTACGCAAAAAACACTTAGACACAGTCCAATTCCAGATACCAACTGAGTTGCGTATTGCTTGACAGCTTAGTACCTCGTGTTATCCGCCGCGCCGTTGTCAAATTGCTCGATATAAATTTTATCGAAATTTAAATTTAATTAAACACTAATTATTTTTATTAAGTTAATTAAGTTAAAAAAAAGTGATAAACATTGTATTTTATGGTATTCAATGCATGCGGTTATGTCAATATTCCTTAATTAATCGAACTGGTGGCCAGAATAAGTCGATTAAACCAAATATGCCTCATGCAAATGTTGCTGGTTTCAAAGATACAGGCCGTTCAATGTTTGAATTTTATTTTGAAATTTCTCGATAATTTTGAAAACTTTGTCAGAGTATGAAGAAAAAAGTTGGCACTATTATACAGGATGATACACAAACGGTGACCAAAAATGAAACCTCATATTCTTTGGTAAATTTTAAAGGGAGTGTTTCGTGTACAATTTTTATCTAGGACGCTTCGTTAAAAATATGCAGGGTATTAAACGTGAGGGTTGTTTTTCGTGTGCAACAAAATAAAACTCCCTCTTAACGGTAAATAAAAGTATTTTTATTGAAAACTAAGTGTAGAGAAAAAGAAGTGCTGTCGGGGCGAGCGTTCCCTGGAGAGTCGTCGTGGTGTGCAGTCGTTCGCAGGTATAAGCATCTGGTCCTTGGCGCCAACCTGCCGTGGTCCTCTTCCGGGACCCATATCCCACTTTGCACATTGTTTTTTGTCGCTTGCAACGGGTAGACCGGTCCAGGCGGCATCAGGCTGGCGCTATTGACGTAATACAATGGGTTACTTGCGGATATTTTAAATTTTTTAAAATAATTTAGAAACTAGTACATGAAATAATTTGAAATTGGGCACATGTATTTATGTAAACATTGTCCAAAATTTGAGTCCTTTTTCTAAAATTTAGATGCTCCAATGACGGAGATACAGGGTATCGGTAGCATATTTTTCTAAATAAAATACTACGCCACTGCTTTATTGTAATTTGTCTTTCAATTTTCTACAATTTGAACCTAATTCAAATGATTTAACCAATTTTTACTTTCGCTTTTAGAAAACTAAATAATTTGGTTCATACACTGAACCAAATTTTTTTGTTCATACTCTGACAGTTTTCAAAATTGAGAAATTTTAAAATAAAATTCAAACTTTGAACACCCTGTATCTTTGAAACCAGCAACATTTGCATAAGACATATTGGCTTAATTGACTTATTTTGTCCGCCGGTATCTCCAGCTTCGAGATTTCCCAACCTTTTGCAGACACCCAGTTATACTATATTCTTTTTCTTTTCAGAATACAAACTAATTGGGTTCATTTCTCATATGGGAACCTCAACCATGGTGGGCCATTATGTTGCCCATTTGTTGAAGAATGACCAGTGGGTTATATTCAATGACAATAAAGTTGCCCTCTCTGAGCATCCGCCAAAAGATTTAGGCTATGTGTACGTTTATGAAAGAATTTAAGTTTAATTTTTATTGTAATTTTATATTAATAAAATGAATTTAATACAGTTTTTTAGTGATCAGATTGAGTTTTTTTTTAATACCGTGGAAATTCTAAGGTAAGGCCAAAACAAATTCTTGATACCCGAATAGAACGAAAATACTTCTCATTAATAAAACAGGAGTGATAACTGTCGATACCAAGAGCGTGAAGCAGAAAATTATTGTACTTCAAAGGTCCGTTCTATTCTCGGATCTATCTAACCTATCTACACCAAGTAAAGCGGTTCAAGCAAGTTCGAACTTCTGTAATGTCTTTAGCATTTTAAGTAACTGTAAATCAAACAATGCAAGTATTCCCAAGTGGTCTTGTCATGGGGTATTCGTAGGTTCACTGCTTATATGGCAACATCGCCGTTCGTTGGGCTCCGTTTTACGGGTTTGTTGTCTCTGCGTGGTCGTAGGAACGCAGCGCTCGGTCGCATGCGTGGTTGCATCGTTGTAAGGGCTGAGACTACTAAAGTCCCTTTAGTAATCTTGATTTGGAACTATGTTGGCGGCAATGGAGACATCTGCGGAACCTGGGCAGGAAATATTGGAAAGATGCGTGAAATTATCCCGCTCTGCGACCTCGGAGCGGCGTAGTGGTTTGTCTGTCATGTTTTATGCATGACTAGATGCTATTTGGCGGGAACTGTGTCCTGCGTGATGCGTTCTCTTCGCATGACTAGAATATTTGAAACGTCGAAAATTTATGTTTGCGAATTCTTTTTTGTGCGGGCTTCACTATGTCGTTTGGATTTCTATTATTTTGGTCGAAACTGCGCCATGGAGGCTCTCCTTGAAGGATTTTTATGATTATTCGGAACATGGGTGAATTTTGATCATAAATTTCTCTAGGTTCACACTACAACTATTTTTATAATTGCGTATTGTCGTACGAGCCGTGCGAATTTCAATGATGTTTCCAATCCAAACGTGGAGCCGCCACAGATACTCTAATCTCTAATCGCACTACGGTCGCCGAAGACCGCCGAGCCTACGCAGCAGCGTAGAACATCGGAGAAGTCAGAATTTCACCGATATTTCCAATCCAAGAACGACTTTTGGATTCTTTCAGTAATTAGATAACAATATTGAATACAAATAGGATTCCGTATGAAAGTTGCATTGTTGTTGTTGAACTTAGTTCAAACCAGACTAAAATATAAGGGTTTAAGAGATACGTTTTGAAAATTTCTACAATTTTTGATAAGTGTACGAAATGCCGAATTAACAATTGTGTTGATGTGATTATTAAACGCCCAATGTCAAAATAAACCCCTTTAACCATTTGAGGGCTTTTAAGCATATATGTGCCACCTTTTATGTTTCGTTCTAAGTTTATTTTTGCCATTCAATAGTCTGTGGGTATTCATGAAACCATTTTCATGGGATTTTTTACTATATTTCCTTATGCAATTCTGCATGGTGATGATAAAATCTAAACACCTACATTCATGTTTCTGGGCTGCTGATTATGATCACGAAGTCAAAAGGGGATTTTGACAACTGCCAACTGTCAAAATAATTGTCAACAAGTGGGAAATGTAATAAAGCACAGAGCAATTCCGCTAAAATAAGGAGAGTTCGCCAATTTTTCATTTTTTCACCGATCTTTCTAATAGTTTTCGCGAAGTGCCGCAGAATTCCCTTGCGCTAGAATCGTGAGAGAGACACCCGCAATGGTGCTGTCACGATAGCGACAGCGCTGTGTTCCTCCGATCGAAAAATTTTCACCGACGTTTCGAAGATATACCGGACAAACTACCCGGATGAGACTATTGCCGACAAGAGTCTTCCGTTTCCTCGAACGACGACGACAACATATGCCGATCTCTCCTCGAGGTCGTTCACTAGTGCAACGAGCGCAAGAATTTTTCGTCCCACTTTCTAAAAAATGGCGAACATAAAAACATTCAAGGGACTTCAAATTAACCAAAATAATTTATATATATCAGGCCTAGCGAAATCCACTCATCGTCCAAGCATTCTGTCACGGATTAATGTTAAATTTGCAGAAATTATTACCTGGACAAAAAAAATATGACCGTATAGAAAATTAAATTTTAAATTGAGTTTCTTGTACTTTAAAGTCGTTCTAATATGGCGAACATGGTTAAAAAAAATCGCAAAGTTGAAAAAAAAAACGGTTTTTCTAAAATAACTACAAAAATATAGCACGGATTGAAAAATTTTATATGAGAAGGGAAGATTTTTAACGGTTTTTTCGATATATCTCGAAAAGTAACAAAGCAATCGATACTTTCAAAAAATTAGTCGATAGATCTTTTTAAAACCTACAACTTTCTCATTTAAAATTTTTCAATCCGTGCTATATTTTTGTAGTTATTTTAGAAAAACCGTTTTTTTCAACTTTGCGATTTTTTTAAACCATGTTCGCCATATTGGAACGAGTTTAAAGAACAAGAAACTCAATTTAAAATTTTATTTTCTATACGGTCATATTTTTTTGGTCCAGGTAATAATTTCTGTAAGCATTTCTCTATAATGCTTGGACTATCAGTGCGAACACCAACTCAGATTTCCCGTAGGTTAGTAACCAGAGTACGGAGTATGTATACGATCCCTATCTTCAATATTCATCTTGTATAAGCGATTACCGTATTGCTTACATTGTATCCAAACTAAAATAGTTCAATAAAGCTCACGAATTTTTAAAGAAATTGCATTTCGAGTTATAATTCTCCTAAAAATCACTAAACTGAAAACGGAACCAGACAAAAATGCTTCGTCCGGACCCATTATGAGGATTTACAACCCTCTCAATATGTTAGGGGGAGATGAGGGTATGTCAACTCCACCGCAAGTTAGTCAGACCAATCAAAATCCACAACCAGAGCTAACGACCTGTTCAAATCCGGGACATGGCGCCCAACGTGAGGCTATCACCTGGGATACACCGTCGACTTACCAAAATCCGCGACAATATCCCATCAATATACAGGGTGTCCCGGTACGTGATACATAAATGTCATGTACAAATAGATGAGGTCAAAATAATATCAGTTCTTCATATAATTTTTTTTTCACACGGGCCTTCGTTAACAAGTTACGGGCCATCAAAGGTGAAAATTTAAGTTATTTATATTTAGTCTCTAAACTATTAACTTCAGCATGATGTAAATTTCCCACTATCCGCGTCGTTGTACAATAACATGTACATATCTGCCTGTGATCTGAAGCTTCGCATCGATCAATTTATTCGATACGTATCTAGCGGCACCCTATTGCCTGCCCTGTCGGCCTAATGTGCCCTTGAACAATCCCGTTTTTTTTTTGCGGAGACGTTGATCGTGCATTTTATTGTCGTTTGTGCTTGTGTGACTGAGTTTGACGCTTGGTCGAGTGTATGGCACGTGTTTCTGTGACAGTCAGTAGCACTGTGTATCGTGAGCATAGAGCGCGGCTTGACCATAGATTTAGCCCATTTCTGCTACTACCGCCTACTAGCATAATATATAAATGCGTGTGTGAGTTTGGCGATTTGTTTGTTCGAGTGTATGGTACGTGTTTTTGTGGTAGTCACTAGCATTGCGTATCGTGAGCATAGAGCGGCACACGGCTTGATAGATTTACCCTATGTCTGCTACTACAATGCATAATACTGATGTACTATTTATTTATTTCAATGTTGCTATAAAGTATCCGAAGTCTATTTATGAAGGATAAAACGGAACGACAACTAAGATTAAAATATTTTCTAAAATTGTTCATCCGTTCTTATACGAATTACGAAATTTATGTGATTTCGCAAAATTACTTTCGCATTAATTCTAAGACGAACTGTCTTCTTATTACAGAAACATTCTATTATTTTTTTACCAAATTTTATTTTTGTTCACGTTCTGCATCATAAATTAGGTACGTCAAACGTGTTGGTTCACTTTTGTAAAATTGTAACCAATGTGAAAAGATATGCTTTCTGAAATAATATTGAATAACGCAACATATTTTCTAAAAATATGCTGAAGATCTGGTAAAATTGAAGTATTACTTTTTGTTTTGTTGAACAAGAAATTTTATACGATTAGAGTAAACAAAAAATAATAGTTCTGGAATCATCATAATATGTAACTGTTATCTCTACTTTATCACACATTAGATACCTATATAATATGTATATGCATAGATAATTTAGTGCTAATTACGGCATTAGCTATACCTGTACAATATACATAATTAGTGTGTAGTACGCATTTATTTTCGTCGCGAAAAAATGAAAATAGATATTCTGTAAGTAACACTATACATTACATAAACATATTTTCTTAAAATTTAACCTGATACAGTTCTCTCATAAAAATATCCAGGGTATTTGGAAAAGTTGGTACAAAATTTAATGAGGTGAAAGTAGAGCCGTAAATAGTAAAAAAAGTTCCTATAAACATTGGTCCTCTGGAGCGCCGTTACTGCGATATGGCTCTCCAAAGGGGTCTTATCCTTTGAATATTTTTTGAAATAACTTTCTTTTTGATTAAGATAATGGAATGAAAATTAGGTATGTAATAATCATATCATAAGTAAGTTTCAACAAATAAATAACGAATTTCGATTTTTTTTTATTTCTTTGAATTATCAAGCAAATATTTTTTAATTAATTAGACTTTTTTGAAGAAAAAATGTCAACTTTTTTTCGAATATTTAGTAGTTCAGTAAGCAATAATAATTTTTCAAATAATGTATCTATGGCTCAGAACAGTAACTTTTTTTTCTTCAAACGTTATACAGCGTGTAACACTAGTGCGGGAAAGTCCAATATCTGTTAAAATGAGGAATATATGAATTTTTCTTTTTACTGTGTTGTCACATTTCTCGGAATGTACAAATTAAAAATATATTCAACTATACAGGGTGTTCCACTTTTCCTGGCCGACACCAACTTTGGTTTTTTAAATGGAAACACAAATTTTTTTATATTTTTTTCGGATTCTGCATCAAAAATAAAGGGTACTTTGTGTAGAATAGTTCTATTCAAATATTCACAGTTTTTGAGATATCTCGCTTGAAAGGTTTTTCTAGT